AAAAGTTGGAGAAGTTGTAGAGAGATTGGAACACTTATACACTGTTGGTGGGAATGTAAAATGGTACAACCACTTTGGAAATCGATTTGGCGCTTCTTTAAAAAGCTAGAAATAGAAGTACCATACAATCCAGCAATCCCGCTCCTTGGAATATATCCTAGAGAATTAAGAGCCGTCACATGAAGAGATATATGCAGCACTGTTCACAATAGCAAAAAGATGGAAACAACCTAGATGCCCATCAATGGATGAATGGATAAACAAATTATGGTATACTCACACAACAGAATACTATGCAACGATAAAAAACAACGATGAATCCATGCAACATCTTATAACACGGAAGAATCTGGAAAGTATTATGTTGAGTGAATTTACTCAGTCGCAAAAGGACAAATATTGGATAAGACCACTATTATAAGAACTCAAGAAAAGGTTTAAACACAGAAGAAAACATTCCTTGATGGTTATGAGGGTGAGGAGGGAGGGAGAGGGGTATATACTAACTAGAAAGTAGACAAGAATTATCTTAGGTGAAGGGAAGGACAGCACACACTATAGTGGAAGTCAGCACAACTGGACTAAACCAAAGCTAAGAAGTTTCCTGAATACAACCAAACACTTCAAGGGACATAGTACCAGGGCTGGGAGTTTAGGGACCATGGTTTCAGGGGACATCTAGGTCAACTGGCATAACAAAGTTTTTTAAGAAAATGTTCTGCATCTCACTTTGGTGAGTGGCATCTGGGGTCCAGAGGCGAGATGAGAAGGCAGAGAGGGTCAGGAGCTGGTTGAATGGACATGGGAAATCCGGGGTGGAAAGGAAGGAAGAATGTGTTGTCACAGTATAGGGAGAGCAACTAGGGTCACAAATCAACGTATACATAAATTTTTGTATGAGAGACTAGTAATAGTAAATTTAGAATAGTAAATTTTCACTTAAAGCACAACAATTAAAAAAAAAAAAATCTAAATGAGATGAAATGGTCAGCAATTACTCTAAAGCAAAGATAAAGGGTAAGGGGACAGGGAAACCAGATTACTGGAAGTGAAATATCCAGAATGGAATTAATGAGAATGTTAACACATTGTGAAAAATGTAACCAATGTCAAGGAACAATTTGTATAATAATATTTAAATGGGAACATAATTTGTTGTGTGAACTTTCACTGAAAATACAGTATCTAAAAAAAAAGAAGAGCCGGGAGTGGAGTGCGTCCTTTGGACCTGTGGACCCTGCACTGAGAACCTCCTAGACCCAGGAGACAGAGACTGTAACACTGGAGACAGCACAGGATGGCAGTGGCAGGAAATGGCAGCAGTGAAAATAAAGAGACTGGCACTAGATGGCTGTGGCTGACTTCCCAGCTCACAGAGCAGGAGAGCTTGAGCACCTTCAGACAGGAAGCTTGCTGGTAGAGTGAGGTACATCTAGGCACTTAACAGTGGAGCCAAAAGAGATGTAGCACTTGCCCAAGCAGAGGCTAGCGTCAGAGGCCAGGACTCAGCCAGGGCTGGCAGGAGTGACTGGAGTGAGGCCCAGACTGCCGACACAACCAAGAAGCAGCTGAGAGCTGTCTTGGTTGGAAACAGTCCTGACTTGGGAAATGTATCCTGTCTCCTGAGTTGTCTGTTACTTCCAATTTGATTCTGATCCAAATTGTAGCCTGTTACTTCCCTAATAAACCACATAATTGTGCATATGGTCTATGAGTTCTGTATGTGTCCACTGCAACGAATTACTGAACCCAGCAGAGAAGCAGAGAGTGCTGTGGGGAGGGTGGCTAGTATCAGAATTGGTATAAAAGTGGAGAGTAGAGTAGAGGGATGTCTGACCTCCACTTCACAGGAATCAGCTTTGGGTTGATGGTGATTCTCACTGTCCCTCATCCGATGCTACATTACAATAACCGTTTAATAACAACTACAGTTTCCTGAGTGCTTACGAGGTACCAGATACTGCTAAGCACTTTCCGTTAGCTACCTCCTTCAACACTCACAATAACCCAGTCAGGCAGGTTACCCCCATTTTCAAATGAGAAGCCTGTGGCTTAGAGAGATTAAATGACTTGCTCAAGGTCACAGAACTAAGGAATAGTTAGATTTGAACAGAAGCTGGCTGTTTCCAGAAGTATCCTTCTTAACCAATAAGCTATGCCACATCAAAAGTTTTTATTCTGAAACTGCCAACTTATACATTATAAACAGAACATACAAGGGATGAAAAAGTACCTGATAACCTTCAACTATTAGATTGGGCAGATTTTTCACACTGTGTTCCTCAAAGTCCCTCTCTATTAAGAAGCTGCTTTTGCAATCAGAGTTTTGGCTATCACTTTAGAAGTTGGGTTTCTAGCTAAGATTCTGTCTGGGAAAAAAGTTTAAAACCACTTGTTTAGATGCCAACTAAAAAATACAGCATTTTTCCACTTTCCTATGCCTTCAAGATGCAGACAAAGATCCTATCTCTTCTGTACATGTTCCTCCATTACCCCTTTCAAATCTTTGATCTCTCACAAAGGTCCTGACCAGGGGTCTCTCCCACACCTGCAGTTCCAAGGCCATATGCTCACTAATGTCCATTGACTACTGTTCTTGGCCCCGCCCCAGGCTAACACGTACAGGGCTGAGATGTGCCTCTCTACCTCAGGATGTGAAACAGCCACCAAAGACACAATTCTATTCTTAGACGGAAAATAGCGACACCAGCTCTTTCCTTCCTTCCTCTCACTGTTCGTTTATAGTCAGGGTGCTAATATACACTTTACGGAGGCTTGATGAGCTCACTGGCCTGTGAGAATGGATTCATCATTCAGTCTGTACTGTTGTTGTTAGGTGCTGTCAAGTCACTTCCGACTCATAGCAACCCTATATACAACAGAAGGAAACACTGCCTGGTCCTGTGCCATCCTCACAATCATTGTTATGCCTGAGTCCATTATTGCAGCCACATTTCGTTGAGGGTCATCCTCTTTTTCGCTGACCCTCCACTTTACCAAGCATGATGTCCTTCTCCAGGGACTGGTCCATCCTGACAACATGTCCAAATTACATAAGACGAAGTCTCGCCATCCTTGCTTCAAGGAGCATTCTGGCTGTACTTATTACAAGACAGATGTGTTTATTCTTCTGGCAGTCTATGGTACATTCAATACTCTTCATCAACACCATAATTCAAATGCATCTATTCCTCTTCAGTCTTATTCATTCTCCAGCTTTCGCATGCATATGAGGCACCTGAAAATACTGTGGCTTGGGTCAGGCGCTCCTTAGTCCTCTGTCATGGATTGAACTGTGCCCCCTAAAAATATATGTCAATTTGGCTAGGCCGTGATTCTCAGTATTGTGTGATTGTCCACCATTTTGTCATCTGATATGATTTTCCTATGTGTTGTAAATCCTCCCTCTATGGTATTAATGAGGCAGGACTCAATCTACAAGATTAGATTGTGTCTTGAGCAATCTTTTTTGAAATATAAAAGAGAGAAGCAAGCAGAGACAGAGGGACCTCCTACCACCAAGAAACGAGAGCCAGGAACAGAGGGCATTCTTTGGACCCCGAGTCCCTGTGCTGAGAAGCTTCTAGTTCAGGCGAAGATCAATGACAACGACGTTCCCCCAGAGATGACAGAGAGAGAAAGCCTTCCCCGAGAGCTGGCACCATGAAATCGGACTTCTAGCCTCCTGAACTGTGAGAGAATAAGCTTCTGTTTGTTAAAGCCACCCACTTGTGGTATTTCTGTTACAGCAGTACTAGATAACTAAGACAATCCTCAAGGAGACAGCTTTGCTTTTTCACACTTTAAAGAGGTCTTTTGCAGCAGATTTGCCCTAATGTGTACTAAAGGAACTGAAATCAATTCAAATCAAACTCCACAAGGTAAAGAGATAGCTTCCTGTTACCAACATAGCTCTAACCTGGACGGTATCTCTTCAGCCTCCTTCTGGTAATGCAGCAAGAGGTGATCCCAAGTCTGACGTTCTGAAGAAAATCTGCAGAATGAGAAAAAAGTTAGTTGATGTTTGATCACCTCATTCTGAATCACTCAGGGTACCAGTAAGTACCATAGGTATATATTCTGGTCCTAAGAGGTGAATAAAAAGGTCTTTAAAGGATGGGAAATCTCCACTGATTCAGAGGACATCAAAGTAATTTAATCAAATCAAACATGAGTTCTTAAAATCAAATTAACACCCCTATTCCCTAGACACCATTCTATGGAAATGGCCATCAGTACAGCTCATAAAATCCTAATAAGGAGGCTTATTGTACTTATAGTACTAATATAACCAACACTCTAAACAGAACGTTTACTATTCATTTTTTCCGGGTTTAATTATTTTCCCTAGGTTGAGAATGAATTTAGGTTTTCCAAGAAAGGTTCTCTCATTTTCACTTACTTTGCTATATATTCCTTCATCTCAGCCACTGATGCTTCCAGAGACAAATCTAATTCTTTTCTGGAATAAAACAAGATTAGGAGATTGACACAAATCTTTCCAAAAAGCTCTTTTAATAGTATACCTTACATAATCTTACTGGCAGTAAAAAATGGTCAGAATTTATCTTTCCACTAATATTTATTCTTGGACTCCATCTCACTTTTGCATTAGGTAACAGCTTTCAAAATGGTCACTTTATCTTCTATTTCTCCCATCAATACCAATTAACAGGACGGCCAGATTAACCTTTCTTAAAATATACCTTTTTTTCTTTGCTTAAAAACTGTGTGACCCTATACTATATATAGGAGAAAGGTGAAAACCCCATAACCTTGCACTTAAGGCTCTCAGGCTCTCCATGTTTTAGCTCCACCCATCTCAGCAACTTTGATTCCTCCTGTTATCCTCTATCTATTCTGTCCTATCATTCCATTCAGCCTGACCTTCAAATACCTGGGATTTTCAATCTCCATTTTTTTTCATATCATTTTTTAGTCTCCTCTCTTCCCATTAATCAAAATCTTCATATCTTTTAAGGTCAAACAGTATTTTTTCATATAATCATCTGTCTTCCCACTAAAACTGAAGCTATCCATGGGCAAGGATTATGTTTTACTTACACCAATGGTTCAGCTCAGTTGGATAATTTTTTTTTTCTGGTTCTATTATTATTTTATTTTGCTTTCGGTAAAGTTTACAGCTCAAATTAGTTTCTCATTAAAAAATTTAAACACAATTTTTTTGTGACATGGGTTGCAATCCCTGCAATGTGTCAGCACTCCCCCGCTTTCCCTTTATACCCTGGGTTCCCTGTGTCCATTTGTCCAGTTTTCTTGTCCCTGCCTGCCGTCTTGTCTTTGCTTCTGGGCAGGTGTTGCTCATTTGGTCTCATATACTTGACTGAACTAATAAGCACATTCTTTAAGTGTGTTATTGTTCATTTTATAGGCCTGTCTAATCTTTGGCTGAAAAGTGAACTTCGGGAATAGCTTCAGTTCTGAGTTAGCAGGATTTCTGGGGTCCGCACTCTCAGGGGTTCCTCCAGTCTCTGTCAGACCAGCAAGTCTGGTCCTTTTTTGTGAATATGAACTTTGTTCTGTATTTGTCTCCCACTCTGTCCAGGACCCTCTATTGTGATCACTGACAGAGTGGTCAGTGGTGGTAGCCAGGTACACCCATCTCGTTATTCTGGGCTGGCAGAAGCTGTGGTTCATGCGGTCCATTAGTCCTTTGTACTAGTATTTTCCTTGGGTCTTTAGTTTTCTTCTTTCTCCTTTGCTCCAGATGGGATGGGGCCAATAGATGTATCTTAGATGGCTCCTTGCAAGTTTTTAAGATCCCAGAAGCTGCTCACCAAAGTAGGATGTAAAACATTTTCTTTATGAACTATGTTATGTCAATTGACATATATGTCCCCCAAGACCATGGTCCCAGCCCTCAGCCTCAGGTATCTCGGTTCCTCAAGATGTTTGGTTGTGTCTAGGAAGCTTCTATGACTTTGCCTTGGTCAAGTTGTGCTGACTTCCCCTGTACTGTGTGTTGTCTTTCCCTTCACCAAAGTTAATTTGTCTACTATCTAGTTAGTGATTTCCCTCCCCATCTTCATAGCCATCAAAGATTGTCTTTTTCTGTGTGTAAACCTTTTCTTAAGTTTTTATAATAGTTCTCTCATACAATACTTGTCCTTTTGTGATTGACTTATTTCACTTAGCATAATGCCCTCCAGATTCATCTGTGTTGTGTGATGTTTCGTAGATTCATCACTGGTTCTTTATCACTGCATAATATTCCATAGTGTACATGTACCATAGCTTATTTATCCATTCATGTACAGATAGACACTTAGGTTGTTGTTTCTATCTTTTTGCTATTGTGAATAATATTGCAACGAACATGGGTGTGCATATGTCTATTCGTGTGATGGCTCGTACTTCTCTAGGATATGTTCCTAGGACTGGAATTGCTGGATTGTATGGTATTTCTATTTCTAGTTTTTTTAAGGAGGTGCCCTATTGTTTTCCATAGTGGTTGTACCATTTTACATTTGGAGTAATTAATTCTAATGGAAAAGAAGCAGGCACTGAAGATGCCAAAATATGGCAGATGTATTCTGAATCCTACTTAGCAAAGACAAACTATTTGTGCCAACTTTCATTCATGCTTTTCTACTGAGGCCTGTGACACACAGCCTCTACTAAACTCTGGCTGAGATGCAGCCAGTGGCCTAAACATGCTGCATTAAGAGATGCTATGTTGAGCTAAAATATTTGTCATTTCTTTACTAGCAATGTCAATCTAAGAACCTGTAGAAAAGTAGACATTTGTGAAGTCAAAACTTAAAGTTCACGATGTAAGCCCAAGAGACATGATTTAGTTCAGGGTAAAGGAGGAGGAGTTTGGGGATATTACCCTTGTCCCTGGGGAAACTACCAGTTGAGGGGTGAGATTTTTAAATTGCTGCTAGTATTCTTCCTTGTCAATAGCCAAAGAATGCGAGTTTATCTCCAAATTGTATGGCTAGCAAAGATCTGAACAATGCTTTTCCCCTTGTCTTTCCATGGCTGATTCCTTCTCATCATTCAGGTCTTACAGGTCTCAGTCCAAAGGTCAAATCATTAGAGGTCTTCCCTGAATACTCTAGCTAAAGTTTCCCTCCCTCTCAAGTCACTATCATATGTATTGATTTCTTAAGATTATCACTAGCTGAAATCATTATTTTTTATGTATCTATTTGACTGTCTCTCCTATAACAATGTAAGCTTTATGAAAAGAGGGGTCCTGTTTGACTTCTTTATCACTATATCACCAGTATCTAGAAGAGCCTGGTACGTAGAAAATGCTGGAGAATGTTGGCTGAGTGAACAGCTGTCTAATCATAATGAAAAGTCTTAATTCAATTATAATTTATGACAGAAAGGGAATTGTTCTTACTCTTTTGACTTTCCAAAGCATTTTTGTAGAGTTCCATCACTTTCCAGTTTGTCTGCAAAATGTTTCAATTCTTCAGAAAGAGAAGATGCTAGAGAGAATAAAATTACTTATTATAAAATAAAGATAATATGAATTTTCACAGCAAGCTGCTGACAAAGATACAACACACTTAGGATGGTCTCAGCTTTATGCTCCCATTACATTCTGGTCCTCATCCACCTAAGAAAGTGGTGTAAATATGCAGAAAGGTTTTATCTTCTTTCTTTAGTAGGTTGGATAAACTGGAAGACAACTCTTTATGGCATTTATGATGGTGTTTTTATGGTTGACCGGTAACACAGCAGTTAAAAAGGTATATCTGAACCTGACATTTCATTCAAGAGTTTTGACCCTATGGCAACACGCAAGAGTGAAATGAGATATGTGGGAGGCAGAGTCATAGGCATAGAATGAAAATGGATCTCTGCTTAGACTTACAAAGAGTTCATCGTTGCATTCAGGCGAAGAATGCCGAGAGAAAAGGACATGCTAACTGGCTGTCAAGGTAACTCCGGCATATATAAGCTAATTACGATGATGGCACAATTCTGAGAGAAACAATTTTAACTAGCAAGTTAAGTCTGAACTCATGTATTTTCTGGGTCTTTTAAGTGGGTAACAGTATTTGACTGTGGGTTATTGTGCAGTTGAACTGTTAGTACAACAGCTACTACACAGAGTTGAAAACTGATTTCTAAGAAAGAATATTTGCAACTTACATCATAAACAGCTAATTTCCTTAATATATAGAGTTCCTACAAATTAACAGGAAAGAGCCCAACATGCCACTTTAAAAAAAAAAAAAGGAACAAAGGATATGAACAGACAGTACATAGAAAATAAAGTACAAATGGCTCTAAAAATACTTCAAAATGCTTATCCCCTTTAAAGCAAAAAGGAACATAAGTTGAAACTACAACATACCTATTATCACATATTGAATGGTAAAAAAAATCTAAGTTTGATAAAACTGTTGGTGAGTGTGAGAAAACAGCACTTGCATACATTGCTGGTGAGAGAATAAATTGATACAACCTCTATGGAAGGCAATCTGGTAATTCCTATCATTTCATTTGACCTAGTAACTCTAATTCTAGAAATTTATCTTATTTTTATTTGCATACATGCCAAATGGCTTATGTAAAAAGGTATTCATTACACTATTTATTATAACAGTAAAAGACTAGAAACAACCTTAAAAGTCCACCAACAAATAACTGGTTAAAGCAGATATGGTACATTTATACAGTGGAATAGTATACAGCTACCAAAGTGTCCAGGCAGCTCTTTATGTGCAATATGGAACCATCTGCAAGATAAATCAAGTTAAAAAAAAAAGGACAAATACGTATGCAATTGATTTAAAATATATATATAAATGTTTGGAAATGCAATATCTCTGCAAGGACATAACAGAAACTGGTGGCTGTGATTGCGTCTTGGAAAAAAGAGCTAAGCCTGGGGGACAGGGATGGGAGGGAGGCTTACTTTTAACCTTTGTACCTCTGAAATTATACTACCAGCATATATTCTTATTTCTAAAATAAGAATTAAAAAAAATAAGAATGGGGATCCTGCAAGTTAGATTTCAGCTAACCTTAAGAGAGGGTACAGCCCAGGGTCAAACAAAACTCATCTATTCTAGCAACTTACCTTTGGCTCTAAAACTTTCAAGACTGAAGCCCTCAGTGTCCCTTAGGAAAGGTTCCAGTTTCTGAATAGAGAACTAAGGGAAGAAAAGCACTGTCAGCAAAAACCGTCAAGATTTTCCAGTCCAGTCCTGAGTTCATGTAATTTTATAATGTTTAAGAATGTAAAACTAAACATGATTTTTATACCTAAGATTTTTCATATAAACAAATAAACAGATGAGGAAAAAACTCTTTGTTGGTCAGACCACACATTTTGATTTTTGGTTCAGGAAAAAAACCGATCATTTAGTTCACACAAATGACATGCTGTGAGGTTGTTACTTTGCCTCAAGCAGTTTGGTCTTTGTCCTTCGCCTCTTTGAAATAATCCTTAGAATATTTAGGCTACATTGGCCACACCTGAGGGTTTATATTAATGAGTGGAGTCAGTCTGGGAGCCAACCTGGTAACGAACAATGAACACAAGAGCTGGATGATAAAAGCTTGACGCACTGAGGCTCGAGGAAGCTTCTTGTGGGATAGGATCCTGGAAGGAGAGCTTTCTGGGGAAGGGATGTCATGCCCTCTGCTTCGGGGACCTTTCCAAGCCTTGCCCAAGTGCCTCTTCATGTTGCCTCTGAGTTACTCCTGAGTTGTATCCTATTATTCCTGCCTGTTCATATTTTGAGTGACTCCTGAGTTGTATCCTTAACCCTAATAAACCATATAACCATTAAGTATTGCAGCAAACTGCACTGAGCAGAGAAATAGAAAGAGCGCAGTGTGGAAGGGGAGCAGCTGCTGGCAGAGACAAGGAAGAAGTTGGAAATCTGAGATATGCTTGATCTTTACCTCATATGAACCGCTGTGTTCTTATTCACAAACTATTCATTTATATGCTTGTCTACACTGATGTAAGCATTACTTAGCCACATAATACATAACTTTTTTATAAAACTATATAACATGGGTCATATATTTTCTTAGCATATAGTTGGACCTGAAATGTCCAAATTAACTTAGATTTTGAACTCCACCCACTATAAATTCCCTATATATTCACTATAAATTTGCTGCCAGTGGGCAAAGGATACTAGACTGGTAAGATCTCTGTAGATGCTTAGCAGCAGCAGCAGCAACCACATCGGTAGCATCAATGGGACTGGTAGAGAGCCTAGTCCAGACAGAAATTAGCTGCTGGGATTAAATGTGGCTTTTAAATTAATCCCAATTAGGGAGAAACATCTTTTAATCTTAACCAATGTATCAAATGTCATCAATTTCTGTCTGGGGTTGTGACAGTGGGTTTAAAAAAAAAAAGAAAGCATTTCCCAGTCCCAAGCATCTCACCTGGAAACTGGAAAGCAGGAGAGCACCAAGTCGTTTACTTTCTGCTAAGTTGACACTGATGGATCTGCTGAGCGCTAACATAAAATATCACATTAAAGACCTGGATACTTATACAGTTAGCAAAGTCACAAAACTGGAAAATTTCCTCCTCTTGGTGCAGTTCAACTTAAGACAAGAATACATAAGCAGCCCTCTCTGGTTAAAAGGAGACTTCATATATAGTCACATCTAATTTTTCCAAGATCACCAAGAAATGAAGTTTACCCATCTATGCATCCAAAACTTCGAAAAATCTTATAAAAATCTTCCTGTGTATTACATTAAAATCTTGTCATGTTAAACAAGTTAGATAAAAAATAATTTAACTTTTTTTTTTGTGACTTATATTCACCACTGGAGGAAAGGAGATGGGAACATATGACTGGCACTTATGCGCTTTAGATATATCACCTTAAGAGTCCTTTAATAAATCCTGCAAAGTATTATTAGCTGTGTTTTATAGATGAGGAAACTGCAGCTCAGAGAGCAGATGACATTACATGAGGCCAGGGATTAATGGAGCAAGAATGCAAACCCCAAGTCTGTCACCAAAACCTGTGCTTCTCCCACTAATACCACGCTGCCTCTCTTTAATGACCTAATAATAATATCAACAGCAAGCATTTGTTGAATGTTTGCTGTATAAAAGGCATTTTGTTAAATGCTTTACACACATCCCATTAAACCCTGAGGCAAGCACTCTTATCAATTCCATTTTACAGATGATGAAACTGAGGCACCACAGCTAGGTAAAGTTAAATAGGTAACTTGCCCAAGGTCACACAGTGAGTCATCAGCCTGAACTGGATGGTCTCCACATACACTTTCCAGAATTATGACACTGAATCCTCAACTCCAGGAGGTATGTATTGTTTGTTTGTTTTCTTCATTATCTCCATTTAGGTAACTCCAATTATTATACAGTAAAGAAAGTCTGCTTTGAGAATTATGAGAGATACATATCTTTTTGCCCTCCAGCCTAAGCTGGCTCTGTTTTTACAGTTCTAGTCTCCTCTCTTAATTCTCATTGCTATGAGTCAAGAAAAGCAGGATACTTTGTCTATAACCAAGGAAACCTGGTAGGTAGTCAGGAATAACAAGGAGATAGCCAGTCTTATTGTATCAATGATTTTCTGTTACTCAGAATTTTAAGCCCACATGCTCTAGAATAGAGATGAAGGTGTGGGTAATCTTAGGGAACTGCTGATATCTTCTTGGCACACCTATGCAGCAAACTGCATGGGCACTGATCTGATATGCCAAGTAGCTGTTTCTTACCAGATTTACTTCTAGACATCTGGTCACCTGGAAGTGAGGTGATACCTTAACAATAATCACAACAGCTAACATTTGAAGGTTTACTCTGTGCCAAGTACTATGTTACATATCAACTCATTTAATTAATCCTCACACAACACTGTGTGATAGGTACCATTACCATCCCCAATTTACTGATGAGGACCTTAAGGCAAAAGAGGTTAAGTAGCTTGCTCAAGGTTACACAGCTAGTAAGTTCTTCCTGAAATGTGCTAGACTTTCCACATTATATCCTGTAGTTTGATGCTGAGATATAGTTACTATAGTTAATTCACACAAAATCATGTAAATTACATTCAAATACAGCATCTCTAAAAACTTAGGTTTTCACGCTCGATATTTTTATGTGTCTTCCCTCTGAGATATTTTCAGTTATAAAGCCTAAAATGAAATATCAACCTATCCACCTTCTGTTCCACTTTAGGATATGAGGCAGAAAGCCACAGGAAGGAATATTTAACACCTCTGATCCTAGCAGAGGGGTCTGTTGGATAATTGTAAGTCACAACTTCTATTCATGGTATATAGATTACAATGGACAACTAATATGATTTAAACAGCAATAATACTAAACACTAAGTGTTTTACATTAGTACTTATAATCTTAGAATATCCCCACAAGGTGGGTAGTACAGTCTCCATTTTATGGATGAGGAAACTGAAGCTCAGAGTTCACATGAAGTAATCTGCTCAAAGTCACATAGCTAATAATTAGCAAAGTCAAGTCTATCCTCCTATGCTCTTTCCGCCATACCTCACTGCCTCTTATCTGAGCTGGAACTTCACTGTCTTAGTAGATAGCACCCCACCTGTGATGCCCTGGTGAAAGGGAGGCAGTGACTTCCGCCGGTTCATTCCTTTCATACTTGCTCGCCGCCAGGATTGCCTTCTGCCTTGATGGACAGATTGTTCTTGGGGGGACAAATGAAGGGACCTGGACTGAAGTCCTTCCTGGTGGCTGAGATCACAACTTCCCCCTTTTGGAGGGCTAGAGCCAAGGTGAATTCTTTCCTTTGCAATGCTTTTAGTCATCTCCAGGGAGGCAGACGATTTAGTACATACTTCCACAAGGTTGGAGCTTGATTTCAACTGATGATCATGAGTCTTAGACATCACTGGTTCCTCTTCTAGCACTTGTTATAAAAAAGTTAGAATACAAAATCAAACCCATCACAACAAAGTATCTGTGCAAAAAGGTGAAAAAAGAAAATGTATGCCCCCATCATGGAAACACTGATGAAGGATCTCTGCAAACTAATGAATATGTGATTCCAAATCCACCAGGAGCCAGAAAGCCTGAACCCAAGAGGCAAAAAGTACTGAATTTCACTATAGTACTCACCTTCAACATTCTCTGATCTAGACACTGAAGTCATTCTGGGTGCAGAACCCTGAAAATAGGAAAACAAGGTGATCTGTTCTCCACACTTCAGCCCCAGTATCACTGGGGCTTTGCTACTTCGGAATAGGCTTCATCCTCTCCAGCCTCTCTGAACCGCCCACCTCACCAACTGTCTCTGCCTCGTGAAATTCTACCTACCTGACAATACCATCTAGCACAATCCCATCTCACCGCCTTCACAGAGAGTATCACCAAGGGTCATCATCTACTCTGAACTTCTACAGAACTTATTTCTAGAAATACTCCTATCTCCCTTTAACACATACCTTACTTTGCTTACCAATTATTTTGTGTTGAAGGAACCCTGGTGGCAAAGTGGTTAAGCGCTTGGCTAACTGAAAGGTTGGCGGTTTGAACCCACCAGCCACTCTGCAGGAGAAATACGTGGCAGTCTGCTTCTGTAAAGGCAATGCTTTGGAAACCCTATGGGGCGGTTCTACTTTGTCCTGTAGGGTTGCTGTGAGTCAGAATCAACTCAACGGCAATGGGAAAGGGAGTCCCTAATTTCCTAATTCAGTTCATGGCATTCTGATCTACCTGGTCTTCCAACTAGAAAAACTATGTTCTCCTTTACTTCTCCTTATTCTTAACTATCCAGATCCACACTCCTTTCTGCTCTACCTCCAAATACAAATCTTTTCCCCATTCCCACAGTTACTAGTTTAAACCAAATCCAAATCCACTGCGGTGGAGTCGATTCCGACTCACAGCAATCCTATAGGACGGAGTAGAACTGCCCCATAGTTTCCAAGACTGTAAATCTTTAAAGAAGCAGACTGCCACAAATTTCTTGCGCGGAGCGGCTGGTGGGTTCCAACTGCAGACCTTTAGGTTAACAGTCAAACGCTTTAACCACTGTGCCACCAGGGCTCCAGTTACTAGTTCAGTCATATCTCCCTGGACTGTATAACAGCCTCTCCACTGGTTTTCCTACCCAGCGTTGCTCCTCTCTAATCCATTCTTCACATGGCAGCAGAGATTTTTCTGAAGTGTATTCAACATCTTTCATAAACTAGTCCCAATCTACCCCTTCCTGCTCTCTCTTGCCACTCCCCCCTACCTCTCCCATGTACACTGATACACCATTGCCTGCACCACTTCTGAATCACTGGACACACTGGTCTTTCTATCTGTAAACTTATTCCTCCTTTCCAACCTAGGTCAAATGTGAAGCTTTCACACAACTTCTCCATGGCGGAGTTGGTTGCTCCACTCCTTGGTCTCCCACGCACTGGCTGTAAAGTCTGTTTACAGGTCTCCCCAGCCACGCTGCATTTGTATTACTAGTGCCTCTCACAAACAATTGACTCCATGAGGACAGGGACATGGCTGAGGCATCTCTTCATCTTCCAGACTTACCCCTCCCTGTCAGCAGAAATCTATACATAGGGATGCTCTGTAAACAGAAATAAATCTATGTGGAGAGAAGACACAGAAAAGGTAACAGGAAAAGGAGGGGTTGGCCTAGGATCTAAATTCTCACAGTTCTTATGACCGCATCACACAGATGATAAACCTGGATGATAACAGCAACAACTGTCATTTAAGAGCTTATAATGGGGTCAGGACCTGGGCTATGTAAGCGTTTTATTTGCATCATTATCCCATTTAATCCTTTCCACAACTCTAGGAGATTAAGTACTGTTATTAACTCCGCTTGGCAGAGAGGGGAACTGAGGCTCAGAGAAGCAAAAAGCCTGGCTAGAGCTTGCTAAGCAGCCAGACTGGGGCACAGGTGGAATTCGAACCCAGGCCTCAGCCAACGTTCTGGAGCGCAGACCGCAGGTTCTACAAACTGGCCCCGAGCAGGAGGCGCGGCCCGCCCTCGGGTTTCCTCACCGGGGAGGAGGCCCGCGGCGGGGGGGAAGATGGCGCCCGATCGGGGCTGATCCGACGCGAAAAAACGCTCTGGCGGGAGCAAGCGGGGCTGCGTCGGGGGAGAAGTTTGCGACTTTCTGACCTCAGACTGACGCCCGTCCAGCCCAGAGCCTCCGTTTCTGAAACACAAGCTGAAAAGTTACTCTCTCCGCGACCCCACGTCAACTGTAGACACCCCTGAGCCGCTGCAGCCACTCCTTCCGGGTCCGGGTCCTGCGCACCGCCCTCCGTTTGCGCCACCACTGCTGCTTCCGAAACTCCCGCCAACCAAGGGCCCTTGCGCGGCTTCCAGCGGCCTGCGCACGCGCAACGCAGGTCTGCACCAACGCGCATGCGTAAACAGATGGCCCGCCTTCTTGCCCCCCCAGGCCCCGTTGTCCAAGTCTTTCCCAGTCTCCACACCGTCACGTGACCACCTTCCTTGCCGTACGCCACCAGGGGAATTGCAGTGTCTTCCCGGGACTCACCCGACAGAGCCCGTCTAAAATAGGGGAAAAAGGCCCAGAGAGGTACTTGCCCAAGGAGGCACAGCTAAGCAGCAGGTGCCAGATGCCCTGCCCTGTATCTCGGCAGTGGGCCTCCTCTATCGTCTTAACTCCAAAAGTGTGGACCGTGACTCTCCCAGCGTAGACTAGAGCTCCAGTTTGCCTCTTATCCCAGTCCTGCTCTAGGACTTTTTCTCCTTCTGTAGCCCATATTACATTGGCAAAGTTCAAGAACTCTCCTTTCCAGCCTTCTCGCAGGCAATCTCCTCTCCAAACTGTTTGCAGCTCCTCTGCCCACCTCAGTTGCTTCTTACCTCTACCCTTTTGCTCAAGACTTCTCCTCTGCCTGGCAAGCCTTTCCCTGCTTTTTCCTGGCAGAATTTCCAATTTAAACCTCAGCTGAGGAATCCTCTCTCTCAGCCTTCCCTGAGGCCCCAGGCTGAAAACCAGATACCTCTTCCGTATTCCCAGCAGCCCAAAGTGCACCACTACCCCTTGCTGGCCTAGGAGCCCCCAAAGAGCAGGCTATATCCTCAGCACCCAGCATGGCACCATCAAAATGTTCCCTTGGCGTGCGGACCTTTCAGATCTGAAACCTCCAAATGTTGAAGTAAGAACAGGCCACAAAGTCTGAAGTGAGGTGGGTTGGGGAGCATGACTGTGATCATCCTGCCATAGTAGCTGTGGTCCTTGGAAAAGTTTTCTAGTGACAGGCAGGAATCTGCCTTCCTGAAATCTCCACCTTGTGGTTCCAACAGACATCTGACAGCAGAGATTTGCCCCTGGTTCCCTGAACACAACTTTCTGGGGCTCAGTGGTACCCAGTTCCTTCTATGCCCAACCCTTCTTTCCACTCTTCATTTGTCAATGTCCCAAGAACAGAGCAGTGTTCCCAGCCAGGGCTGGCCATCCTGGGGCACAATGAAAACATTGCTTCATGGAATACAGACCCAATACATTATCCGACTATGTCCTTTCCCTGCTTTGAAATCTTTCATGGCTCCCTACTGTCCACAGGACATATAAAAATTACTTTGCTCGTAAGGCATCGTGTGATCTGACCTATCCTCTTCTCTCATCATTCCCTACTCAGTTCCTCAGTTCTGCTCTGCTCTTTTACTACTAGGCTTTCACACATGCTGTTCCCTCTCCCTAGAATCATCTTGCCTCAGTCCCCTGCCTACCAATACATGACCATTCTCTTCATTAATCAGCATCTCAACCTTGGGCCTCAGCTCAGGTGTCCTTTCCTCCATGAAGCCTTTCCTGATTCCTCTGGGCTCCTCTTCCACCCTGAGCTCCCTCCTGCCATTGACATTTGTTTCCCTGTCTTCTAGGCCCATCTGCTGTATCCTCAATTCCTAGAAGAGGCCTGACTGCTGTTAGGCCCTCAAAAAAGAGGAGAGCTAAAAAAAAAGTATCATGTGGTTGCCATTTTCCAAGATGGCCCCCAATGATCCCTGACTTCTAATGCTAATGCCCTCCCACATTAAATAGGATGATCTGTATAACCAACAAGTTATTGCAGAAATAATGTGTGATTTTCAAGGCTAAATCGTAAAAGGCATTGTGACTTCTGCCCTGCCTCTGGGGGAAGTCAACTCCCATGTTGTAAGGACACACAAGCAGTCCTGTGGACAGCCCACATGGTCAGGAACCGAGGCCTTCTGCCGACAGCTGGTACTGACTTGCCAGGCACTGTGAGCTACCTTGTAAATGGATCTTCCGGCCCCCAAGTCCAGTCTTCAGATGATTGTAGGTCTGATCAACATCTAACTGCAACCTCATGAGAGAGCCTGAGTCAGAACTACCCAGCTCCTGAATTCCTGACCCACAACATCTGTGTGAGATAATAAATGTTTTGTTATAATTAATTACACTGTAATAGATAATTAACACGTCTAAAGTGTCCTTTTTTTTTGGCCATGATAAATTTTAAGTCTTACATAGAAAGGTTCAATTCCATCTTTTTTCTTTTTGAGCATTTTCTTTCTCAGCAGTCATATCATGCTTCATGGGAGACTCTGAGGTGTCAGTAGTGGCAGCTGGGGACACCTGGTGGCCCCTCCCAAGTGACCCCAACCAGGCAGCTGGTTGTGGCCTTTCCAGGCCTCTCCCCTTCCCAAGCAGGTGGGTGTGGGGTAGAGTCAGGTTTCAAATCGCCAGGGGCCCCACCCAACCCACAAGGGAGATCAGAGAGAGGCCAAGTCCAACGAAACTGTTCATATGACATACTTTATTTCCAATCTACAACCATTAAAAACCCTTTGTAAGTTTACACTGTACAGTTATTCTCATGTCTGAAATAAGACACGGTGGGCAGGGAGAGCTGGTGGATTGGGTTGTGGTCATCCTAGCAGCCAATCCATCCAGGGAAGGAGCGTTTTGAAGAAAGGAGTGGGGAAGACAGAACAATAGACAGGAGAGGAGAACAGTTTGGCCCAGGGATGCCCTTGGTCCTTTCCCTCCCGAGGCCCTTTCCCTGGGGTCCACCAGGGCGCACGACTGCAGAACCATCACCAGGAAACCAGGCCAAGCAGGAAGGGGGCTTCACAGTATTGGCAGGGGCTGGGCAAAGGGATCAGGTAGAGGAGGGACAACTTCTGGCTCTCTTACCCAGCCACTGGGGGTTGGAGCTGTTTTTTGGCACTGTCTACAAGCTATCCCTGGGGGTGGGAGGAGGAGGAGCTGGAGATTCTTCCCTTGAGAAATTAGGTTTCTTTCCGTTTGGAGGGAGGCTATTGGACTCATTGTGAAGTTCCCAAGGGACGAACTGACAGGATTTTTGCCTCCTGCTCCCCAGGACTCCCACCCTTGCCTGGCTGGCACAACCCCACAGAGCCTTATATAAAATCCAGAGAAGTGGGAGAGGTGAGCAAGGATGGAGCCAAGCCGGGGGCAAGGAAAGGAAAAATTGATTCCTTCTCCCTGCCCTCCAGCTTCCAAGAAGAGACCACTGGTTGAAGGATTCCCAATCTCTCAGGAGTCCAGACGAGGTTGGTGTTTCTACCTGCTCTTGGCCTAGGTCAATCCCAGCCCCTTCCTAGGCTGCACTAACTGATAACCTAGATCAGCAGTTGGCAAACTCCAGTATCTATCAGAATTACTGGAGGGCTGTTGAAATGCAGATTGCTGGGCTCTGCCCCAGAGGTTCCCATTCAGTAGATCTGGGGTGGGGCCGAGAATTTGCATTTCTAACAGTTCCCAGGTGATGCTGATGCTGCTGGTCCAGGACCATGCTTTGAGAACCACTGGCTAGAATGATGCTTCCGATCACCTCATCCTCAGCAACCTGACACCCTTGGACAGTACTAGGGACCTGGGACATGTCTGGCAAGGCTCAACCTTGGAGGCACCGAAATATCTGGGAAGATGCTGGGGATGGTCGTGTAGTGAGCCCCCTGTGCGGAGAAGTAAACTAAGGCACAGAGATCGGTGGTAGAGCTGAGAGAGGAGCCAGGATACCAGGGCCCAGCAGAAAGGGAATGGTGCTGCAAGACCCCCAAAACACAAAGGGTGCCCAGAGGATCATCCTGGTGCTTGTCACAGAATCCTAGAATTGGGCGGGCCAGGCTCAGAGAAGTTAAGAAATCTGCCCAGACCTGGGCCAGGTCTCCAGTTTTCAGGCCGAGGTCCCTCTCCATAGGAGCAGTTTGAGTGGCTTCAGAATGGGGTATGATAAGGCAGCCAGGCCCCACTGCCTTGGCCCTTCAAGGATGCTTACAGGAAACTAAAGCTCCTTTCCTTGGGGACTGGTGTCCAGAGGGCTGGGGAAGGGCAGGAAGAGAGGGGACCAGGGCCGATGGGATAGAGGAAGGTCCAAGGAGGGTGAGGGAGGGTGAGCAGGGCTGGCTGGTGGTGGGGAACTCAAGCCCAACATCATGTCCCCAGTCCCCTTTGCTTCTTGGGCCTGTGGACTTTGAAGACTATAAACACTGTTGGGAGGGGTAAGGGGTAAAGCCAGGGTCAGCTATAGGTTCTGTTAGGACAAGTTGTCCTGTAGGGACCCAAAGGAGAGCAGAGGAGATGGAAGGGTGTCAGACAGACAGACAGCCTCCCCCTCCTCGGTGGGAAGTGCTGAGATTGAGGGGACAAAGAAGACAATGTGGCTCAGGGCTGGGACTGGCAGAGCCCAATGAGAAGGGCAGGCAGGGCTGGTGCTGCCTGAGGCATTGGAGGAAGGGGCCCCCTTTGGTGTGAGAAAATATAAAATAAACACAGAACCCAGGAACCACCACCCAGTCTGAGGGCAAACACTGGCGTTGGGAGACCACAGACACAGGTACTTCTCTGATAGGACAAGAAAGTAAGGGCCTGGGGGTGGGGGATGCTGGGATTACAAGAAAATCCAGGAGAGGGTGCAGTGCTGGGTCAGCCTTTGAGAGGGCCAAGGGAGAGATGCTACAAGTAAAAGGAAAACCTGACCATGGATCTGGGCCACTCGGTCTGCTGGCAGGAACCAGCCAGAAGAGAAGAGGAGGCAGGACGATGGGAAGCTTTGGGGGAAGATGATACAAGAGAGGGTGGGCAGGAGGAAGGGAGCAAACAGACTGAGCTCAGAAA